GGCTGGTCGTGATGGGCTTTACTGTGGATGGAACGTTGTGCAGTGCGCACCTGTTTAGTGTGTCGGTCGGAAGGATTGCCCAGAATCGTCGTCGGTTGTGCAGATGTTTAGTGTGTCGGCCGTGGCATAACGACGGGTTGATTGATTTCAATCGTGTGTTTTGCATGCAGGTCAGGTCTGTTTAGTTTGTCCGTCGTTGGAGTCGACGACGAGTTGATTGATTTGATTCTTGTATTGTGTTTTTATCATCGCACTTCGCTGCGCAAGAACTCCATAGCGCTTTTAACGCACCCTTTTTTTTTCTGTCATGTGTCCGCTGTTCTCATCTCTTCGCTCGAATGATTCATAGATGATCACCTCGTATGCATGCACACAATCCATGTTTTTTTGTTTTTTTTTTTCTTTTTCAAAACACAAACTCCATCTATTGGTGGGGAGCAACACCTGCTGGAAACCGGGTCCAGCGTCCCATAGATACAACCATATCCTCACAAATTGGCACAAACTGGGAACCGGGCCCAGCGTCCCATAACGAGCACATTCAGAAAAGTCATCAGAAAATTCCATGAAAATGAGACTAGGAACCTACTAAGAATTTTTGAGCTACTCCAGACCTTTTTTGCGAGAAATTTCAGAGTCAAACAAAATTCGGAAAACCCTCAAGGATCCACCCTCTGTCTTCTTACCTCACTCCGACGAGACTTACTGCAGCAAAGCCACCATCTCTACTGCTGCTATGCCCTAATATTTCTATCCTACCAGCTAGCCCCTTCACTAGTAGGATTCATGATGTCTTTCTCTCACTAACCTCAATCCCTCTCTTACTCGTTACCCGGCTTGGTTGAAAAGCCATCTAAGAAAACTTACAGTTATTCGGAAGGTATGGGAATAGCCTGCCGAAGTCCTGCCAATGCCCCTAGACCCGCGAAATCCCTAACAAAACCTTCCAAGGTTCTCCAACACTGTCTTACTCCCTGCCGAGCTCTTCCAGGCCTCAAACTCCCTCATCCTGCAGGTTACAGGGCAACACAACTCACCCCAGCTCCGGCCAGCGTCGTCCCAGCAGCAACCCTTGGTTGTCCCATGGAATGCCCCTCCAAAGCACCCCCAGATCTCTCTACCAGGCATCATGCCCCTGCATCAACAGGTTACAGGGAACCACCCCAGCACCGGCCAGCGTCGGTCTGGCATCGAACAGCCGCAGGTCACCGAGTATAACGGCCTCGGTACCACCTAAACAAAGTTGCCAGGAATCCCCAGAATCCAGAGACATTTTAAGGACAAAACAGACTATCCCCCCTTTTTTAAAAACAGATTGCAACGTTTTTTGAAAATTTTGGGAGATTCTAAGAATTTTTTTTTTTTTTTTTTTTTTTGGAACTAGACTCCTAAGGTAATTCCTAGCCCTCCTTTCCCCGGGACATACTTACTCAGGGACAATACCAACCATATCAATATCACCCATAGCTGATCTCTTCTCGCCACTACGCAGCCCCCCCCGATTCGCCACTGACTTGCCTTCCACCCTCGGCAAACCCCAGATCTCTCTACAAGGCCTCATACTCCTGCGAATTGCAGGTCACAAGGTGACGCCCCAGCTCCAGCCAGCGTCGTTTTGGCATCGGCAAAACAGGGGCGCAGAACAAAAAAGCTATTCGGATGTCAGTCCCGTTGTGACCGTCTCTGGACTCCTACACCCCAGTTACAGGTAAGGGTTAAGTACTACCAAGGATCCAGAACCAAAGGACTGCACAAACAAACAACCACCCACTCTCCCTGCAACTATTGGAGAAAACTACAGGTCCCGTGTTCAGTCCTCAATCGACACACGGCTGGTCTCATACCCTCCCATGCTAGAGTTACACGACCCCACCAAGCCCCAGTACCGACCAACCTAGCGAAGATGGTAAGGAGTGCCCTCCTCCCTCGGCAACTCCCCATAGCCGCACGCCCCAAACGGTGACAGGGATACACCCCAGCTACGGCCACGTCGAAAGTGCTGGTTCTATCTTCCTCCCTCGACAGAACTCCCCAAGCCTCATGCTCCTCTCCGGGTCACAGAGCAAAACCACCCCAGCATCGGCCTGCGTCTTCCCAACCCCTTCCTTCTGACCTACTCACAAAACCCCTCGGTCGCCCCCCCTCCCCCCTCTTACCCCGCAGCCTTCTTGGAGCAAGGACTTGGATCTTCTCCATAGGGAGTTAGCCCCTTCCCACAGAGCGCGTCCTTTCCCTCCATCATATCATCCTACCCCCTCAATACAGCCCCCTCCTTAAGGGAAAACGAACAGAATTAGGCAAAACTAAGCGAAAATACGATGCACTAAGATGCAATAGGATCAGATTACAGCAGCAAGATCTTGGGATGTAAATTCCAAGGATGATTTAAGAAAAACGAGTTTGTATCAGAAATCAAGAAAAAATCAAGACCATACGGTCAATGAGAGGGAAAACTATTGAGTGGCAAAATTCACAAGAAATTATACGAAATTTTAAGTTTAGATATCCAAAAGGATTTTCGAATCAGGATCCCAAACCACAGTTTGAGAAACGTTTAGCAAGGATGTATGGCTCGAAAACGTTTGAGAAATTATTTCAAGAAACCTGATTATCAGAAGGAACCATCAACAGAAAACACTAAATCAGATCGTCATCACCATAAATAATATCCAGAATTGCACATAAAAAGACAGAGGAGTGATACACCTGCAACAATCGAATCAGGAATTCATAATAGAAAAGACAAAATTCAAAAAACCTAATTAGAACATCATCATTTGGTCAGACTTTAAGCATTCGCCGGACCAGAGCTCTCAGGTCAATTTAGAATTGAAAATGTGAAGCCACCTGTCATGAGAAAATCAGATGGAAAAATCAAAGGGATTAAAATCGAAACGAGGGGTTACAAAAACAGATTTACAATTCGGATTACTGTCTCAAAGCTACTTCCAAAACAACGAGATCAGAATGAAACGACAGAAGTCACTCAAGCCATGAAGAGCAAAATATAGATCACAACATATAAACCGGTCTCTCATCATGATGAGTCTGTCTCCCCCAAACCTTCACCCCCTCCCTTATCAGCCCGAAGGCAACTCAGCCATCACATGGCCACTCTCTCGGCCATCAAGAAAAGGACTGAACAATAAGGTTTTGTTCTTCGTGAACGTACATTATGCAGGTGTTATTAATGATTTCAACAGCCATGTTTGACGTCCCACCACGAAACCATTCATGACAACGAATTGGAGAGACACACAAAATCGAGGTTACACCACACGAAACCATTCATAACAAACGAATTGGAGAGACACACGAAAAAAAAACAAAAAACAATATAGACATTCAAAAAAAAAAAAAATAATAATAAAACAAAATTTCCCACCACACGAAAGCATTCATGGCAAAACGATTTGAAGACACATACACGAAAAGATGAAAAAAAAAAAAAAAAAACTAATAATAAAACAAAAAGAAAACAAAAAACATGAGAGATACAAAAAAAAAAAGGTTCTTCCAATATTAAACGTTCGCACTACTGTGCGAACCACGCAACCGTCCAAACGATGAAAACAAAAAAGGAACTCATCGACGACAACCATGCCGCCATTTAATCGTGGATGCAACTTCGCGCACTACGACCATGGACACTATGTATCACCCGCGGTCGTGACCGCGGGCCATTTGACCGCACGCGGTCGGAATCCCCACCGCAGCGGGAGGCGCCCGCAGCCAAGTGCGGTCGGAAAACCCCAACATTTTTAAATCCTGGAATAATAGGCCAAAACTAAAATAAAAATATGAGGTTGTAGGTTTTTGTGCGCTCTACAACTGTATATTTTTAGTTTTATTGTTTGACTTCTTTTTCGATTTTTAAAATATAAGAAACAGAAATCCCTCAGGCAAAAGTTCTTCACTTTATTCTTTTAGTAAGAAAAATATAAAGATTTTGTTTGATTTTTATCTCAAATTTGGTAACAAATTTGGATATGACCCCAAGGCAAAAGTTGTTCAGTTTATTTTTGGGCATAACATATAGTTTTTTCAGATGTTTCTGAATTCTTTTTTTTTTTTCTTTTTTTTTCCATGACGCGGACCGCGGTCATGACCACGGCCTCACGGCCGAGACCGCGGTGCAGGGTCATACCCGCGGCGACTACGACCATGGGGGAGACCACGTGACAATTCCACCCGCCTACCAATCGCACCAACCCACGTCCTCCC